TCATAGATTATTTAAATGGTCAACCACACATGACCACTCCCCAATGATTTCATTTGTTTGTTTTCAAATAGATTAAAAAGCCTTTTCCCCGATTAGCTGCATGATTTTATGTTAACATATATAACTTATGTTGAAAGTGATATATACAACTATATGGACCATAACCTAAAGACTCTCAAGATTGTCATACAAAATCAAGGTTAATTTCAGTAAAACATCTTTACGGTGCAGAAGATCAAGAAAAAAAAATGACTAAAACTAAAGCTTAGAAACATGTAACATAACCTCCTTTCTCTAATACATCATGGAAGAGGAACTAGACTTGGAACGTAAACGTAGCCACAAAGGAAGGTACCATGATAGCCACACCCGTAGTGTCGTTCAGTCTCAAGTTGATTTCTTACCTTAGCCTCATCAATTTCATAAAAAATGATGCAAGTAGGAAACTTATCACCACCATCATACATGCCATCATATACTTCTGCCTCGCACCATGCCATGATACGTTTATGCTTGGCAATGAAGTATACCGGCTGAGCCATATCTGTATGGTCAAGTAACGCCGGGACATCTGGCCGGGACACAGTGAAATACTTGGTGAAGAAGACAGCATCATCCAACTTGTTCGTAACCCACACCACAATCTCATGTGGTTCTTTTTCATCTTGCTGTAGCAATGACAATCTATCTCCATTGTAACAGGCTAGATAATTATCGAAAGCGGGAGGAGGACAAAAGCATATGTGCTTGAATGTCTCAAGGGTGAAATCGAAACCGAGAATGTATTGTTGGTCATATTTACGAGCAATCCAATACATGTTCCCCAAGACAGCCACACCTTTGCACGAGAGGTCTACATCCCAATCAACCTCCACGTCAAGAGTTCTCCAGGAGTTAGTCTTGCACTCGTATATCTCAACCTCTGGTTCATCTTTATCATAAGGAAGATTATGATCATAGCGGTGATCAGTAAACCTCAAGATCTTGTAATCATATCGAGACTCGTATCCAATCCCGTAGTAGTCAGACGTTGTGAAACAGAGCGAGGGTTTGATCCATTTGAGTTTCCTCAAAACGGGATTCCAAAGTGCGAGGTCTGTGTTTCTACATTGCCAGTAACCACGCATACAGAGCAAGATCCCATCGCAGTGAACCATCATTCTAATATCATGATGACGTTTGAACTCCTTTGGGAGTGGTGACTCTGTGCGTGTTCTGTTCACCGGATCAAAGATTTGTACCGTATCATTAGCGGTTCTGATGAATCTTTTCCGGGAGCGATCAAGGTGAGTGTAGATGAACCTCTTGTTCTTGATGAGAGCGTACCATTCCTTGCACGTCGGTTTTGATCGGACAAGAGATTCCGCGGGAGTTCTGTAGAATATCTCTTCTATTAGCTCCCGTGGCAGTGTCGACAACGACCACGAACGCTTCTTTGGAGAAGCCATGGACGAACGCTTCTCTGAAGGATCCGAGTCGTATCGGAGCAGAGGTTCTTGGAAGAAGGAGAGGAATAAAAACCAATGGTGCATTTCTTTAATCTCATCCATATAAACCAAGCGACCCAGTTAAAGATTTAACCGAACCAAAAACATAAACCGTTAAAAACTCATTGAATAAACCAAGCGAAACGGGTGAGGTTCAATCGAACCAAATTGGTGACATTACATTAACCATCCTAATAATATTTAACTGATCAAAACGTTGACCCAGTGACTCGTTCTTATTTTCCCTGTGGATTAGTTGACATCATTTTGGATTTGATCTAATGAAGAACTAGACTTCGACCCGCACAACCGTGCGGGTTTTTAATACAAAATATTTGAAATTATATAATAAAATTTATCAATAAATAAGTATAATTTGATTTTTTATGCTATCCAATTTTATAATCATTTTTATGTGACTTGTAATATTATTGATATAAAATTTATAAATTTGTATTTTTGTAATAATTTTTAAAAATATTATTATGTAAGATTACTAATTTATATATTTTTATTTCTAAATTTGAAATCTATGTAAAAATTAATTAAGTTGGACCTACATAATACATAAACAAAATTTTGGGATATTGTTAAAAGTATTTTACATAATTTTAATTTTTTTTATAAATAAAAAATGAATTAAATTTTAATTAAATTTTCTGATAATTAAAATTTTAATCAAATAAGTTTTGAAACTATATCTTGAAAAAGATTCTAAAAGATTTTTAAAAGATTTTGTTAGAATTTTCTTAAAACTATTTATTTGTATTTCAAACAAAAATTAAAGAAATGAAAAGATATTATAATGTTATGTAAAATTTTATAAAACTCTAAAGAGGGTCCAAACTAAAATATCACACATGAAGTGAGTCATGACTTCTCTTTTAATATAATAGATTAAGATTCAACCGAACTATAAAACATGAATCGGTTAACCACAATAATTGAAATTAAATAAAGCAAGCGAACCGGTTAAGGTTAAACCGAACCAAATTGGTGACATTATGTAAACCAATCTAATTCACAAACTTGCCGACAACAGTCTGTGTTACTCTCGTCCAAAAGAATACGATGAAAAACTTCAAAAGGCAAATGTTTATGACATTTTCTAGCTCGATTTTGGGAATTATTGACTGTGCTTATTCAAACGATTTTACCTTTATTTTTTGCAGGAAAACATGAGACTGATGAAAGGCATCAGGGAGAGAAAGTATGAGGCTATTGCGAGTGTTTTTTTTGTGTAATGATTATTGTTGTTTTGTGACAACAGAGTAATCATTGAGAGGAGTGGAAGTAAGCTGCAGAAGTTTAGGATCAATTTACAGATGCTTCAAGTTCAGAATTTGCAGCTTGCATAGACCAACACTCGTATCTTGGCGGCACATCTCATTTTCTTGAATGATTCGTTTGGATATATGATTTTTGGAATTCTTTGGTTACAATGTGATTCCTCCAAAGTTATATATTTCATTATTGTTTCCTGGCAGGAAATCAGAACAAGTAAAGACCAAGTATCTTTTTAGTCTGGAACTCATGGCCAGTAAACTACAGGTTGAGGTGTGTTTTAATTTGTATGTGAGTTTCCGATGACCATAATTATTATCTAAACTGTTACATAGTTGAAACCCAAGTTGCTCAAATACAACTTCTTTAATTCCGATTACTGGCATTTTTTGTATGCATATAAATTGGGGAAGAAGATATAAAGTTGTATTTGATTAATTCATTCCCAAATGGGTACACACCCTTACAAATATTGTTTACTAAACCGATAAACCAACTAACCAAATTTTGAATATCGAAAAAAAAAATATTCAACTTTTTAATATAAAGGTAAAATAGACTCAATGCATTTTGAACTCAGATTAGAGAAAAAAAGTCTGGACATACCACTAGACCACATTATCATTTATTTTATAAATATATATAGTATTTCTATATTAAATACAGTAAATATTTATAAAATTGAACACTTGTTGAAATTGACGAATATACAAACGTTTAAACACTAAATCATTTAAATTAACATATTAATTAATATATGTTATATATATATTTATATGATTCACATATTAAATGAGTACTCAAAACCGAACTGAAACCAAACCAAAATTCTAAAAGTATCTATTAGGTATAAAAATGATTGATCTGATATACTCAGAACTGAATGGTTTCTATCCGAACCGAATATCTGAATACCTAAGACTAAAAGTAGCAATGTTGACTTAAAACGACAACGTTGCATCTCATGAAGCGCAACTCAATCGAAGTGGACATTATTGTAGATAGGGTTGGACAAAAAATCCGGATTGGAAAAACCGAATCCAACCCAATCCAAAAAGTAGTATCAAACCTGAACCGAAATTGATTTAATATCCGAATGGGTTCAAAATTTTGATATTTAAAGAACCGCAACCGAACCTGACCCGAACCGAAATATTTCGAGTACCCGAATATATCTGAAAGAGATTTATAAACCTATATATATTCATTATTTTTAGTTTTAATGTATATAAAAAACGTTCAATATATATATAATACTTTGAAGTTGTTCAAAATACTTGTAAATATATGTAAATAGTCAAACATACATGTTTAAAATTGCTAAAGTACATTCAAAACATAAAAAGTACTTAAAAAAATATTGATTCACAATCCAAATATTCAAATCAAACTATTCTATATGTTAATTTTAGGTATTTTTACTTATGTTATTCAATTATTTGTAATATCTTATTTTGTTTATAGTTTTTTAGAAATTTAAAGTATATAATTAATTTTAAAAATAATTTAAATGGGTTATCTGTACCCGAACCGAATCCGCAAAGATCGAAATCGAACCCGAACCGAAATTTTAAAATATTCGAATAAAGCTAAAATTTTTGAATCTCAAAATCCAAAACTCGAATAGATCCGAACCGAACCCGAATGGATACCCGAACGCCGCCCACTCCTATTCGTAGATATCGCCCACTTCTTTGGGTTTTATATATTTATGGGCCTGTATCATATGGGCCATATCAAAGGCCTATTATAATATGAAGGACGGTCAAAACGACGACGTTGTTGCATCACGAAGCTGAACTCGCAACACAGTTTCAGAAGAACCTAGTTAGATCGGTATCTCTGTCGGGATTTTATCTCTCCTTCACGGACCCTATCTCGCTCCTAATTTTATCCCCTCCTCTTTGCTCTAAGCTTGATTGGAATGTTTTCGTATATCTTTATGGAATGAAATAAAACTGCTTCTTCTGTTCATCTCTGTTAAAAGGTTCGTCTTTTGTTAACATATATGGTCGTCAATAGCTTCCATCATTCTCCATTAATTCACATCTTTCCTTGCGTTTTGTTACATTGGGTTTCCTATTATGCGGCAAAACTGTACCTTTTGAGTTTGCATTGATCTTTATTTATGTTTTGTGCTTTTCCATGACGTTTTTGAATTCATGAAATCTGTTTTTTTTTTTTTAATTTTGCAGTAATATTGGATATTGAGAGGAAGTTGAATTTGTGATGTATACTAGAGCAATAAAGAGGAACCAGAGATGGGGTTTGGTATTACAGCAAGCCAAATACTTAGTTAGGCCAGGCATACGCGATTACACAGTGTCTAGATCTTATGGACTCACAAATAATCTGACCAATAATGCAAATTTTACAAGAGGATTCCTCCTCCCTTCGTTTTCTCGTAGTATTGCCTCGAGAAATAGTTTAAGATTCTCGGAGAACATTCAGCTGCGTAGTTTTAGCTCTGAAGGGAGTGACATAGGTGATGGAAAAACCGCAAAGGAGAAAAATAGTTGCGGTGTTGATTCACATGCTCAACTCGGAGAGCAGGATCAAATAGAATGGCTTCATAACGAGAAGCTTACTAGTGAATGCAAAAAGAAGGAGTCACCTCTGCTTAGTAGACGAGAAAGATTCAAAAACGAGTTTGTAAGGAGAGTCCAACCTTGGGAGAAGATACAGCTTTCGTGGGAGACATTCCCTTACTATATCCAGTAATAATCTAACAACATACTCTCTTGTTTTCTCTGTTATTGTGTTTCTGATTATGGCTTCTGCTCATGCTCATTTCACAGCGACCACACGAAAAATATTTTGGTGGAATGTGTTACTTCACATATAAGACAAAAGAATGCTGCTTCAGTGTATGGTGCCCGTTTAGATTCTTCAAGTGGTAGAATATTGCTCCAGGGCCTTCCAGGTTTGTGATTTACTAACAATAAGCTGACCAGTGTAGTGTTTAATGTTGCTCCTCTGTTATTAAAGTAATTATCAAGGAAACATAAGAAGACCAATAAGAAACCTTATGTTTATTCAGGCACTGACCTTTACCAGGAGAGGCTGGTACGAGCACTTGCTCGAGATGTACAAGTTCCCCTGTTGGTTCTTGATAGCAGCGTTCTTGCCCCTTATGTGAGATTCTTATGAGTAATTTGCCTATAAACAAGCCATGTTTATTTTTCTGTTTCTTATTTCATGTGTCTTATATAATCTATCTCGGTTCTGAACCAGGATTTTTCTGATGAGTACAATGATGACTCTGAATCTGATGGTGAGAACGCAGAAGCTGAAGCAGATGAGGGCACGACAGAGTCTGAAGCTGAGGAAGATTCTGGAGCGAATAGTGAGGAGGATTCTGAAGCGAAAACAGATGGGAGTGACAATGAGGAAGCTCGTCTAGAGGTTACTGAGGAAGATATCAAGAAAATTGTGCCAAAACTTGAGGAGCTCGGAGAGGTATGATTGTCTTATATGAGTTTCATAAATTTAGTATGTACTGATTGCTCTTTAACTACATATACCTGTAACCTGTCAATGTCATAGAAGCTTTCTGCTTCTTGGTTTTAGTTTATCCTTTTTAACATGTTACTGGACTTATTACCATTTAAATACTGGTTCGTTAGTTCTACATGATGACTCTTTGCCTTGTCCCCTCTTGAACTTCTGATGAATCTAGTTTTAGAAATTTTCTGAATATTTGCTTACCTGCTCTAAATTGTGGCAGCTAGTAGCGGAAGAACTACATGAAGCTGGTGGAGCTTGCGAAGCGGCAGCTGTTGAACCTTCTGATAAAGCTAGGCGACCGGCAAGGAAAGGTAACCATACAAGAGCATCTTCAGTCATCACTATAAGTGCTAGGTAGAGTTGATTGTGTATCAGTTTGCTAAATGATTTCTTTTTAGTAACGCTTTCTCCTGTCTAATCAGATTCTTTTGGTGTTGTCTTTCTCTCATTAGCCTTTCAATTTTTCATCATTCATTTGTCAGATTTTTTCATTATTTTATGTGCTGTCATTTTTTTTCATTTCTATTTGTGGTTACATAATTTGCAGGAGATCGAGTCAAATATGTTGGGCCTTCTAAAAAGGGTGATGCAAAGCACAGGTAGTTTAATGATTTACTTTCCTGAAATTTATCCTCTAACCATGATGTATACATATAAACTGTTCCAACACATATTTTAGTTATGAGTTCAGTGAAAGGTTTTAGAATCTTAAACATGGGTTACTCATAAAAAGGCCACGGTAGTTTCCTATATGATGCATTCATTTATTTGTGAGCTTAACTTGGTGAATGGGTTTGTGTGTTGTCTATTATCATCACCACGTGGATTATGTTGTATCTTGTATGTCATGAAAGTATATCTTTCGGGGTTTTCTCAGCAACATTTTTGATATTTTTGTAACGTACCTTAAATATTATGCATGAAGGATAGTGGATACCCTATATTTTTCTTCAAGCAAAATTTATATACCTGCAGGCCATTATCTACCGGACAGCGTGGGGAGATCTTTGAGGTGAATGGGAACCGAGTTGCGGTCGTATTTGACAGTGAAGGTGATACATCATCAGAGGGAAGCGAGAAGAAACCAAAAAAGCAGTCCCAGAAGCCCAATATACACTGGATAGATGGTATATTTACTTGATAAAGCCATATATATGTGATCTTTGTTTTATTTGGAAAATTATCCTGTGTTGACAATAGACTTCATACGTAAAATGTTGCTAGCTAACCTCTATGTTATCTGCGCAGTTAAAGACCTGAAGCACGATTTGGATATGCAGGCAGAAGATGGTTACATTGCCCTGAAGGCTTTAAGTGAGGTATGTTTGGAAGCTACGTAATGTTTTCTTGTTGCTTTTTAGGTATTGTTGTTCATGTTCTGTATCCTGTGCGCTCATGTATCCGTTTGTTTCCTTCTGTGTTTGTAGGTTTTGCAATCAACACAACCACTTATTGTCTATTTTCCAGACTCGTCCCGGTGGTTGTCTAGAGCTGTACCTAAGGCAAAACGAAATGACTTTGTAGACAAAGTTGAGGAAATGTTCGATAAAGTGTCAGGTCCTGTTGTAATGATCTGCGGACGGAACAAGATTGACACAGCCTCCAAAGGGAGAGAAAAATTCGTAAGCCTTTCTCTTCCTTGGCTTTTCTTTTTTTGTTATTGATCAGTAAATTAATTGTATTTTTTTTTTATCTATTTTGCTTGTGAACAGACGATGATACTCCCAAACTTTGGCCGCATTGCGAAGCTGGTACGTTGGCTAAACATAAAAGTTACTTTGTTGATAGAATCTTAGTACTTATCTATTGATTCATTTGTATCTTGCAGCCCCTTCCTCTGAAGCATCTCACTGAGGGGCTTAGCGGAAGGAAAAGTTCAGATGATAATGAGATATACAAACTATTCACTAATGTTATGAACCTTCTTCCTCCGAAGGTATGCCCTTGTGTCTTTATTAACTCCCTTGTGTCTTTTATTAACTCCCTTATATAAGTTTGGATAACCGACGAAAATTGTATCGATGTATTTTTGACAGAGTGAGACTGCTTAGACTGGTCAGAATAAGATCATGTTCTATTCACAAACTCGTACCTTGTTTTCTTGTTTCTTTGTGCAGGAGGAAGATATTCTTACAGTATTCAACAAACAACTTGTAGAAGATAAAAGAATTGTGGTATCACGGAGCAATTTAAATGAGATACTTAAGGTACACAGATCTAAGATTGATTCTCAGTGGAGTCAATTTGTGATGTTTTTTTCATAATCATTGACTTTGAGAACTTTTTTTCCCAGGCTCTTGAGGAAAACGAGTTATTATGCACAGACTTGTACCAAGTGAACACCGATGACGTGATATTGACAAAACAAAGTGTGTAATTCCTATAAAACACCTGTTTTGTTATGTATGTGTTTGCTCGTTATGCCTTAGCAATGTTGTATAGACTCTTTACTATATGTTGTGTATGACATTTGTTGCTATAATGGCAAGAATCAGGTTGTTAGGAGACAGATATGATATTAAGGTTTAATTTGCAAGTGTATGTTTAGGTCCACATTCCCTTGGTCTGATTGTCCTTTTTTAAATAGTTATCGTTGATGTTATGTATTATCAAGTTGAAATAGGATGATGTTCCTTTTGATTGACGTTGATCTCTGCGACTGTCTCTTATTTGTCCAAGTCACTTCTGTGGTGACCCATAGAGCTCAGAAACTTGTTTATATTGATTTTTACAGGGGCAGAGAAAGTTGTTGGCTGGGCCAGAAACCACTATTTATCTTCTTGTCTGAAACCATCTATTAAGGATGACCGCCTGATTCTACCTCGTGAAAGGTAATGTCATGGTTGTGGCTTTATCTTCTGAGTCTATAATTTTATCTTATTAATTTGATTTTGTCTTCCTCTTTTGTAGCATTGAGATTTCAGTTAAAAGGTTGAAAGCACAAGAAGACATCTCTCGGAAGCCTTCACATAGCTTGAAGGTTTAGTTTTCTCTCCATCTGGTAGTGTTTTCGGAAGTATGATCACTAGATGAACAGAGATCTTTTTCTTGCAGAACATAGCAAAGGATGAGTTTGAAAGCAATTTTGTCTCAGCTGTAGTTGCTCCTGAAGAAATAGGTGTCAAGTTTGACGACGTTGGTGCTCTCGAGCATGTGAAGAAGACATTGAATGAGTTGGTTATTCTTCCCATGAGAAGACCAGAGCTCTTCACCCGTGGCAATCTCTTGCGGGTATTCCATTCTCTCCCATTGTTTTCTTTCCTGTAAGAAATGAATCTTCCAAATTGACTGAGTTTGTTTGTTTTTTTTGTCTCCAGCCGTGTAAAGGCATATTGCTTTTTGGTCCTCCTGGTACTGGTAAAACGCTACTTGCCAAGGCTCTTGCTACAGAAGCTGGTGCAAACTTCATTAGCATAACTGGCTCATCACTTACATCAAAGGTACTATGTTGTATGTCACCTTTACTTAATTAATCTCTTTACATTTTATTGGTTCTGACTATGTCAACTTGGTCTGTTGTTTGGTACAGTGGTTTGGAGATGCAGAGAAGCTCACTAAAGCTTTGTTCTCCTTCGCAAGTAAACTTGCGCCTGTGATTATTTTTGTCGATGAGGTTAGAGATTGTTTATCTTTATTGATATCCCCTTTCTGTTTCAGTCATTGCTTTCTAGGGGGACTGAATTTTTTTTATTTGGCTTTGTCTGAGTAGGTAGACAGTCTATTGGGAGCTCGTGGTGGTTCTCACGAGCATGAGGCAACAAGAAGAATGAGAAATGAGTTCATGGCAGCTTGGGATGGGCTCAGGTCAAAAGATAGCCAAAGGATACTCATACTCGGTGCCACCAACCGACCTTTTGATCTTGATGACGCTGTCATTCGCCGTCTACCAAGAAGGTAAAAAGAAACATAATCCGAGTTTCCATTTTTATTTTCCTTACAGAACATTTGTCTCACTCTAGATTTTGTTGTTCTGCTTCTGTTTATAGGATATATGTGGATTTACCAGATGCAGAGAACCGGTTGAAGATTTTAAAGATATTTCTGACTCCAGAAAATCTTGAAACCGGTTTTGAGTTTGAGAAACTTGCAAAAGAGACTGAAGGATATTCAGGAAGCGATCTAAAGGTTTGGTTCATTCAGGGTTTACATTGCAAGTTCTTCAAGTATTGTAGATTCTGTGTCTTGTTTCTGATTCTTATTTTTCTGGTTTTTTTTTTAAATGGCAGAATCTATGCATAGCTGCTGCGTATAGACCTGTTCAAGAATTGTTACAGGAAGAAAACAAGGTAAAAGACATGAACCTATGTTGCCTACTTCTTTTGATTGCAGAATACAGTTTTGTAATATCACTCATTGCTTTTCTGCATTGTGGATTTCCTCAGGGTTCGGTAGCAAATGGTGCATCTCCTGATCTACGGCCTCTGAGTTTGGACGACTTCATTCAATCTAAAGCTAAGGTATATATATGATTGGATCATAAATGTCTAAAACGAAACAGCATTTGTGTTTCTTTTGATCTTTCTTTGTCAAATATATTGATATTTTGCATCATTGCAGGTAAGTCCGTCTGTGTCATATGATGCAACGACGATGAACGAACTGAGAAAATGGAACGAGCAGTACGGTGAAGGTGGTAGCCGGACCAAATCTCCTTTTGGTTTCTAATGCAAGTTTTGTTAGTTTCATTTCATCATATTCAAATCTCTTCAACAAATTTTTTTCCAATTTCACAAACAATAAATGTCACTATTTAAATTTAATCCTAGTTTTTCCTTTCATTTATAAACGCAACCAATAAAACAAATTAATTATATAAATGGGGAGAAAAAAAAAAGCCAATTCACTCCCTGTCTCGTCTCTGATCACTCTTTTGTTCATAATTGATTTTAGTCACACAAAATAAAAAATATGAAACATTTTTTACGAATAATATTTACGAATATAGACAACAACTTTTTTCATTTTTTTTTCATAAGAAATACGAATATTGACAACAATGTTTCATAAGAAATATGAATAAAATTTACGAATATAGACAACAATTTTATCTAAGATTCTATTGGTAAACAAGAAACAACAAAAAATACTTTTCTTTCAACTGAATTAAATCATCTCATTCTCCTCACGCGCACGTTTTTCTTGTTTAGCGGAGACCTATTATAACGTTTACTCGACGCGCCATATACGCGCGTGCGTAAATACCTAAATAACTGTATTTCTTTCTGAGATTTTATTTTTTTATTTTTTTGAAATAAACCGTATCTGCTAAATTTCAATCAATGGCGGAAAGGAACCGCGAGGAAAAGTAGAAAAAAAAAAAAACACTCTCAACGCACTCTTCCTCTCTACTCAATCCTCGAATCAGACGATACGATGTCGTCTGATACACCAGCGCCAAAATCCGTAACGGTCGAGGACGAGGACGCGGCGATCGAGGAGCGGTACAGTCTCTACGAAGCGTACAACGAGCTACACGCTCTAGCGCAGGAATTAGAGACTCCGTTCGAAGCTCCGGCGGTTCTTGTCGTCGGACAACAAACCGACGGGAAAAGCGCGCTCGTGGAAGCACTCATGGGGTTTCAGTTCAACCACGTCGGCGGCGGGACCAAGACTCGACGTCCGATCACTCTTCACATGAAGTACGATCCTCAGTGTCAGTTCCCTCTCTGCCATCTCGGATCCGACGATGATCCTTCCGTCGCTCTCCCCAAATCCCTCTCGCAAATTCAGGTTTGGTTGTGTTTTGGTTTTCTTGTGGAGAAGAAGGAATGATAAAATGTTTTGTTTTGGATTTGTTTTTTTTAAGGCGTATATTGAAGCTGAGAATATGAGGTTAGAGCAAGAGGCGTCGCCGTTTTCGGCTAAGGAGATTATTGTGAAAGTTCAGTATAAGTATTGCCCTAACCTTACCATTATTGATACGCCTGGACTCATAGCTCCTGCTCCTGGACTCAAAAACCGAGCACTTCAGGTTCTTTAAAAAAAATGATTATGACGTCATCACAAGACACTTTTGTGGTTATTCAAAATGATGTTGATGGTGTTATCAACAGAATACTTCATACTTGATTTATAGTTTACAATACATTATCTTTGTTTAGATGTGTTGGTGTATTGTTCGTGTAGATTTCAATTATTTTTTTAGTTTTTTAAATGGCTGATTTAATGTTTTTGGTTCTGCTTGATTTGAGAGTGTTTACTTGTTTTTTTTACTAAGGTTCAAGCACGGGCTGTAGAAGCTTTAGTGCGAGCAAAGATGCAGCATAAAGAGTTTATCATTTTATGCCTTGAAGATAGTAGTGACTGGAGTATCGCAACTACTCGAAGGATAGTGATGCAAGTATGAGACTTTACCTTTAGCCCCATTGCGTGTAACCTCGTATTTATTTTTCTTATAGAGTTTTTGTTCTCCTTTATGTTAGGTTGATCCTGAGCTGTCTAGGACAATTGTTGTTTCCACAAAGCTTGACACTAAAATTCCTCAGTTTTCATGTTCATCCGACGTGGAAGTCTTCCTCTCACCTCCTGCAAGCGCACTTGACAGCTCCTTACTTGGCGATTCCCCCTTTTTCACGTCTGTGCCTTCTGGAAGAGTCGGCTATGGACATGACTCAGTGTATAAGTCTAATGACGAATTCAAACAGGTCTGTGCTCTTCTGTCTGATTCCTTGATCTTTTCATGGATTCTAAAGCTGTGTGGTTTTTGTTGCAGGCTGTGTCTCTTAGAGAAATTGAAGACATTGCATCTTTGGAGAAGAAGTTGGGCCGTGTGCTGACAAAGCAGGAAAAGAATAGGATTGGTGTCAGTAAACTAAGATTGTTTCTTGAAGAACTACTCTGGAAAAGGTATATCTGCTTTTTGTTCTCTGTGATTTTCAAGCTTCTGTTTCCTCTATAGTTTACTTTTGCTCGTTGTAGTCTTGATGCCATTCTCTTTGCAGGTATAAAGAGAGTGTTCCATTGATCATTCCTCTCTTGGGAAAGGAGTACCGCAGTACAGTCAGAAAACTGGATACTGTTAGCAAGGAACTTAGGTCTGAAAAAATTTCTTGTTGATTTTAGTAAGCTTATTTATACTCTTAACTTAAGAAAATATAACTCATGTCTTTCCTTTTACAGCTCTTTAGATGAAGCAAAGCTCAAAGAAAGAGGCAGGACTTTCCATGATCTTTTCTTAACCAAGGTCTTTGTAGAGCGTATTTGCATTTTTTCAGATCTTTTTTATGCTCTGTACTTTTTATTTGTGCCTGGACTCATGGAATAATATGCTTTGGTGTAGTTACAGCAAAGTCATATAGTAATATACTCCATTTCTTGTTTATTAACTATTGACACAAAAAAATTTAGCGACAGTAAATGATATCTAGGACTTAGTTATAGTTTAGAATGATTGGAAGTTGTCGTGTTGGATATCTACATTAATATAGAAGTTCCTTTGTTAGTATTGATCCATGTTGGGTTTTCTCACCTGTTTTGTTTTTTTTTTTACCAGTTATCTCTGTTACTGAAAGGAACAGTTGTGGCACCTCCAGATAAATTTGGTAATGTTACTATCTGTTCTCTACCACTCAACTGTCTCTAGCAATTATCTTTCTTGTTTCTGGTTGATTTGAAATTTGCAAGATCAGTTTCGTTAAATGCATATTGGTCACCAGACTGAGATGATTGCTCATACTATGATGTATGCTAATCAAACAATCATTTGTTCATGATACTTTGGTTACTTGCGAAAGCACATTGTATGACGATGTTCTCTTTATGTTTGGTTCTTTGAAAGTTTAATAATTCATCATGATGTTTTTCCAGGTGAAACATTGCAAGATGAAAGGACGCAAGGGGGGTCTTTTGTTGGTACTGATGGTCTCCAGTTCCCACATAAGCTAATACCAGTAAGTATTTCCCGCGGATATAAATCTGACCGCATAAAGATATGCGCCAATGAATGATATATAATGAAGAACGTAAAAAATAGATCATCTCTTGGACCTTCAAGAATTATGATGAAAGATAACCAAACTATTTTGTTTCTTTTGCAGAATGCAGGGATGCGCCTTTATGGGGGTGCACAGTATCATCGAGCTATGGCCGAGTTCCGTTTTCTAGTTGGTGCTATCAAATGTCCCCCAATAACGCGGGAGGAAATTGTCAACGCATGTGGAGTTGAGGATATTCATGATGGAACAAACTATTCGAGGTTTCATAGCATCGACTGAAATGCAACACAATTCTGAGTTTTAATGTCTTTGCATCTCAGATCCATTTCAGTATCTAATCTTACCTGAAATGTTTGTCATGTTTGCTATGGGGCCTTATTCTCTTTTCATTTACTTGATTTTGTAGAACGGCTTGTGTTATAGCAGTTGCGAAGGCTCGTGACACGTTTGAACCTTTCCTTCATCAGGTGACAAAGATATATCTATTATTTCCTTCTTCTTTCGTGGATGATGGAATGAAAAATCTTACTAATTCGTTTAGTTATACATCAGATTTGCTAGAACTATATTTGCTCTTAAGAGTTATTAAGTAAACATGCTCTGCTTTCACAAACTATGTTTGGAGGATATTTTTTTGTCTGAAAATGGTTATTTAACGTGTTTATCATTCCGTACAGAGAGTTGTTTTTTTCATTTCTCATTTTCGTTTGTTTTTGTGTTGGTTTAGTTAGGAGGCAGGCTGCTACACGTTCTTAAGAGATTGCTTCCAATTTCTGTATATCTTCTTCAGGTGGGCATTGTTTCCTTTGGTTTGATGGTATCCTAGTTATTTTTCCTTCCCAGCAAATTTCCTGATGTACGTTTTTGCTAAATTTGAATAGAAAGAAGGTGAATACTTAAGTGGACATGAGGTGTTTCTCAAGCGGGTTGCTTCAGCTTTCAACAGTTTTGTGGAGTCGACAGAAAAATCATGTCGTGACAAGTAACTCTATTTCCAACTCCTACACTGTCTCTTTTAGTGATAATAAATTCCATTTTCCAGTACTACTTGTGTTCTAGTCAGTTTCAGTGATCAATCTTCCCTTTGGTTTTTATATTGATTGCAGATGTATGGAGGATTTAGCAAGTACGACTCGCTATGTTACGTGGTCTCTTCATAACAAGGTCACTGCTTGAGCTTTATTAATCGTGTTTCAAATGTTAATGAATAAATCTAAATTTGGTATCCACTTCTAACTCTGTAGTTTTTAATGTTATGTAGAACCGAGCTGGTCTACGTCAATTCTTGGACTCGTTTGGTGGAACAGAGCAAGTAGCCACATCAGGTAATCCCTTGGGTTTTAATCTTCCCCAAGATGCGCCAGGTGGCACAACAGACACAAAGTCAAAATCAGATGTGAAGCTAAGCCAACTCGCCTCGAACATCGATTCAGGTTCCAGCATTCAGACAACAGAAACGCGGTTGGCTGATCTTCTAGACAGCACGCTCTGGAACCGCAAGCTTGCTCCTTCCTCTGAGAGAATCGTCTACGCATTGGTCCAACAGATATTCCAAGGGATACGAGAATACTTTCTAGCCTCTGCTGAGTTAAAGGTTTGCTCCAACTTCGGGTTTTATCAGATTATTAAATTTTTTTTAGATTGGCTTTCCTTTTTTGAACTGTTATTTTATTATGGCAGTTCAACTGTTTTCTTCTGATGCCTATTGTGGATAAGTTACCTGCTCTTCTC